AACTTAGAGTTAAAAGAGCACAAGAAAGATTTCTTTTTTCTGAGTTGGAAAAAACCCTCATTATCTCCAAATATGGAGTGATTGTAAAATATGGCTTTCTGTTTCACTGTAGTGTTTTTTTTTTTTTTTGGAAATATTCAATGTCTCTGTGGCTTAGGATCTAATACAGTCAAGATGGAGGGTGTTTGGCAATGATTCGCGTGCTATGTGGTGACATGCCAGGACTGTGTCTTCCTCATTGTGCATCTCCATGCCCAGCCCGTAGCCTGTGGTGCTCTGACTGTGTATTTAAAGAATCAACGAAAGAACCATGACTTATTTCACAGAACTTGTGGGTGTTCTTTTAATTAAGTTGGTTTAGAGATGAGCAGGTTCAGGGAAATTCTCACCTTACTGTGAGATCATTGGCCACATTGATTGAAGACACTGCTTCTTGCTGATGGCTGTGCACTTTTGCCTCGTGGGCTTGAGTTTGCTGGGCATGGTCATCCAGAAGCAGAAGTTTGCGCTGCCTCAGATATGGTGCTGTCCAGTCTCTGGCACTCAAACCTTCTTACAGAGGCCAGGATACACCATAGTCTGCTTCAGCCATGGGAGTCAGTGAAAGAATGTGACCCACTGAAGGACATTTCAGTGATTTCACATTGAAATAAAATTTCTGACTATAGAGTATTTTAGTGAAGTTGATTCCTGTTTGAGGAATAGTAGGAAGATAATTTAAAAAATAGCAGCAGACCCTTCTAAGTATAACTCTAACCAGTGCATGCCTTTAAAGTGTTTTAGATGATGTCATACATGTTTTCTTGCTAAAATGGCAACCAGTGTAATGAAAAAGCAACGTGTGTCAGTGGAATGTAAGGAGTGACTAGCTTTCTACTTAATGCAGGAAACCAGCTTCAGCAACAACCAAAAACCTCATCCCATCATATATCATTCTTACATTGTGTTGTGGATTGTGGACTATTTTGTAAGGATTCAAAATCAGAAGAGAGGATATCACATAAAACATTAAAAAATGTAACTGCTGGGATGTAAGTTATCTGATGGTTGCTTTCGTATCTGTGCGCCTGCGCACCCTCTGCCCATGGGTGGGCTGATTCGGAGGACCTAGCAGAAGCAGGGCCAAGAGGGATATGCCTGGTTTATTCCTCTCAGTAATTGAGTGTTGGCTACTTCAAATGATATAATTTTTGAGATTGATAAACAAGACATTGGATTTGGGTTGTGATAATGACCAAAGAAAAACTACAGGAGGTGACACTTTGTTCAAAGTATTTACAGAAGCAAAGCCAGTCAAAGCCTGTCTCTGCCATGGCTCCAGTTTTTGCAATCGGTCTAGGAATGGGAGAGGATGGTACTTCCTATTAGAACACAGGAGTGTTGAGGAAGATTGTTCATTAACTACATTCACTGAGTGACTACTATGTTTAGGGTAAAACTTTAATGCTGTTTCATGCTGTTTTAAATAATAGAGTGTCGCGACCCTTCAGGGACCGAAGCAACACGCCCAAGGTCTTGATTCTTCTCTAGGCTTTATTGTCTAATCTCTCACGGTGGTTACAGCAGTTGTCGGGAAGCTCCTCTCCCTCCCGGCGGGCTCCCTTATATTCAGTCACCCAACCAATCCGGGACAGTATCATGCGTGACCTTTAAGAGGATAGGTGTCACGCGCCACTCTAAGTGGGCAGCATGAGCTGTGCACGGGTACGGAAGTCTGCTGGGCCAATCCCCAACAGGGAAGAGGGGAAAGGGTGGTGAGCAGGAAATGGGCGCCATCTTTAGGGCATTGTCCAGCTAGAGTGGGGCTCAGCCTCGGCCGTAGGCCGGGCCCCCACAATAGAGACACTACTCTAGGAGATGAGATAAAAATGAAGAATGAAGAAAGAGATTGTTTTGACTTAGAGAAAATAGTTTCCTCGGTTAATAAACATTGTTGCCTTCAAATAAGTTTTTAAAATACAGCCTGGCTATCTGGCATTGTCAAAAAAATTAGACGGAAATTCTGTGCACCTGATCAATAGAAATTGGGTTGTCTGAGGACACCAGCCCCTTTGTGGAACTTGTTTGTCACCATCTCGTTAATTTCTGGAGTCCCTAGAAATACATTTATGAAGCCATGGGAACTTTTTGGTTTAATGCAGACTGATTTTTTAGTAGTTAGTAGAACTCATGGTCAAACTTTACTGGTTAATTAGCCATTTTTAAGCATGGTCATTGCCTGCTATATACTTTCCCCATCTGCACAATGTGTTTTTTTCTCTCATCATTAAACAATATTGTAATTTGAGTCGCCACTTGAGTAATAGAGGTCAGGTAATGCCTTGAGAAGAACCTGCTCAGCTATAATCCATCTGACTGCAAACTCGTCCAAGTGCTTATTTACTCTTCCCTCCTCCAATCTTGATTACCATTTCTCTGTAATATTAAGAGCAAAACATGTGATTTCCTTCCAGAGCTTAAAAGCTGTATATCTCAATGTAATAAATCTCTAGACGAATTCTTGGCAGTGATGCATACATTTTATGTGTGCTGTGATTATCTCTAGTCATAATAATTTAATACACATGGTATATGTAACATTTATAATCTTCCTAAGGGGAAAAATGGCGTGGCATAATTCTGACAGGTTATTATGTTGTTTATGTATAAAGTATACGGCAAAAATGTTGTGTATCTGACTTTGAAATCCTCAGTTTCATTTTAAAGGGCTGTGTGAAAAGAATCTAAGCAGAGTAAGTAATCTTGTTTCCACATATTTCCTCTTGTAAATTACTGTAAATTGCTAATGTCCATTAAATTGACCTGCTAATGGGAACTGGCTGGCCGTGGGTACTCCCCCTAGTTTTTTGATGAACTGTTCAATATTGTCATGCATTCCATAGATTTGCATGAAGATTTGCAAGTCATTCAGCCATTGTAGACTAGGAAAATTTCTGTGTTCTTAATATCAAATATTGAATATTAAATTTCATAAAAAGTACTTGCTAGAGTAAGTTTAAAATTTTTAAAATATTTTATGCTTCTGCGTGTTTGAAAACTATAGAAAGTAGGCTAATAATTCTTTGCCTTTTCAGGTTATTTCATTTGTGTTCTGATGGTAGTAACAGTGTTTTATGTGGCTATCAGGGCTCCTTCTAGGACGGTCTTAAATTCTAATGTGCTCATTCATTGTGTTGAAAGAATCCATTAAACCTCCAAAACAATATGAAGGGAGAGGAAAACCAGCTCAGTTCATTCTGGTGAAAATAAAAGCTATTTATTCCAAGTGGGACCCTGAGACTTGTTGATGAGACAGGTATTGGTAATTGCTGTGACCTGCAAAGTATCTATTTTTCTTTTTTGTGCAGAGATGTATTCATCTAGTGTTTTCACTGTTTTGCCATTGTGAGTTTCATTAAACGTTCCACATTTTAACTGTTAATATAAAATGTTAACTTCAAAATTTTAAATAACTTTTCATCATTACTTTAATATTAATGAATATGTTAATCTCTGAGCTTCTAAAGGTATAGAACACATTTATCATATTTCTTTTCTTTATAATGAAAAATTTATTTTTATTTTTACTTTACAGAAACCAAGGTTTTGTGTCTTTGTCAATTTCCATAGTTAGGCTGTTACTAGAAGAAGGATGTGATTCAAACCCTGTTTGGAGTATATTCCAATGAAGTGAACTGTTTTTGTTGCTCTAAATTCTAAAATTACATTTCCTAAGTCTAATACTGACTAATTTAGAGACTTACTGCTGCTGCTATTTATTAATTCTCTAGGCAAGATTAAATGCCTTAACTGACCCAAAATCTTCTGTCAACTTATTGTTCCCTATTTTTGCATTATTAAAACCTCATCCCAACTAGTGCAGTTACTGTCAACAAGAAAGATATTACAGAACTATTAAGTATATTCTCTATGCTGTACTTTCATCCCTGTGACTAATTTGTTTTATGATTGAGATTTTGTGCCTCTTTATCCTATTTACCTATTTCCCCCAACCCCAACCCCAACCCCTCCCTAATGGCAACCACCAGTAACTTCTCTATGACAATTAATCTACTGCTTTGTTCAGTTTATTTAGTTCTGTTTTTAGATTCCACATATAAGTGAAATCGTATGATATTTGTCTTTCTCCACCTGGCTTATTTCACTGAGCATAATACCCTCTAGGTCCATCCACACTGTCACAAGTGGCAGGATTGATTTCTTTTTTTTTATGGTTTAATAACATTCCATTGTGTGTATGCAGCACATCTTCTTTATCCATCCATCCATTGATGGACACTTTGGTTGCTTCCATATCTTAGTGAATGTAAATAAGGCAGCAATAAACCTAGGGATGCATATATCTTTTCGAATCAGGGATTTTGTTTTCTTTGGGTAAATAACTAGAAGTGGAATTACGGGGTGGTATGGTATTCCCATTTTTAGTTTTTTGAGGAACTTCCAGGAACTGCTTTTCATAGTGGCTGCACCAGTTTACATTTCCACCAACAGTGTAGGAGTGTTCATATTTCTCCCCATCCTCACCAACACTTATTATTTCTTGTCCTTTGGATGCTGGCCATTCTGACCAGTGTGAGGTGGTATCTCATGTGGTTTTGATTTACATTTCCCTGGTGACTTACTGTATTTCTAATTTTGTTTTATTATAAGAATACTTTTTGCATTCCATCTTGCTCAAGTGTGAGGAGCAGATAAAAGCACAATGCAGAACACGTATCTCCTATAAATCTACACTATTAAATATTTAGAATAATATGCTAATATTTTGGTGTATTTGGTCTTTTCATGCCTGTGGATATATATATATATATGTTAATAGCTACATAGGTTTTAAATACTATGGATATACAGTGATTTAATATAGCTTCTTTTGTATATAGTTATGGGTGTTTTTAAAATTTTAATACAACTCTTACAAATATTTGTACTTTAAGCATTCATGTGATAGAGTCTTGCTGACATCTGGCCCATATTTTATCTTTTACTTTCAGGCAGTGGTGGTGCTTGGCCCTTAACATTTCTTGTTTGCATGAGTTTGAATTGATGCCACTTTCAACAGTCTACTCAAAGGGTGCCTGTAAGTTCGGTATCACCCAGCCCATCCCTTTAGATTGGGAAGCTGGGATTTTGGTTAGAGATGAACCAGTTGTGGAAGCTTTACCTTCATTCAGCAACAACTGATCAAATTGCAGAGGTAGTGAGGTGGTTGCTATAAGGTTTTCTTCATTAAATAAAATAAAATAAATTAAATCAAATCTTTATTATATTAAATAGAAAGTTGATCTGATGAAAGAGGAATCATCTAAAATTAGTACCCTGTCTGTTTGTTGAGTGGGGAATAGCTGCAGTGCACATGGGGTTTTGAAGCACATGTGGTAGGAGACTGAAATTACCTTCTGATGAACCTATTCATTGCCTTAAATCTTAGGTAACTTACTTAGTGGGCATGTCAGAGTGGCTAACAGTAGAGTTTGGCTTCACAATGCCTCCCATAGTTTTGTGTTAGTTACTTGGTATCATTAAGCCAGAGTTGTTCAGTCTTGATGAGAACAATAGTTCCTACATTGTAAAATTATTGCAAAAATTAAATGGGATAAGTCAAGGGTGCTACTTAGCACTTAGCGCATTAATAAACACTTAGGTGCGTGTTACCCTTGTCTTCCACCTCACTTTGTTGTCTCTAGAAGGCTCAAGCGTGTTCCTCAAACTTGAGCGTGTATTAGAATCTCCTGCAGAGTTTATGACAACACAAATTTCTAGGCCCCAGCTCCCACATTTATGACTTACTAGGTTTGGGATTCCTGGTGGTGCTGACACTGATGGCCCAGAGTGCACTTGGAGAACATCTGGGTAGAACATCATAAGCACAGCTGTTACTTTTAACCAGTAAATTATATAACCCTTTCTTTTAACCACCTGCCTGGATACCATTAAAATCATTTCTTGGACAAACTTGTTATCATCTTGTCCTATTTTTGTAGTTGAATTATAATTGTAATTGTTTTGGATTATTACGGAACTTTAAAGCTAGAATTGCTTATTTTAGAGCTAGAATGATGTAGGTTTTTGATGATTTTGATGACATATATGCATATAAAAATTGGCTCCATTTTAATGAAAGTTAAGTGAAAGTTGTTTTTCTTTCATGTGGACCCTGCATATGTTTCTGGTGGGTCTGGTTTGAATGTAGAACTTTTTTTCTCCAGAATTTAAAAATAGATATGGAATTTTAAGTAATATTGGACTATGAGTTTGAGTTAAATTCTTTTATAGCTTGCTTGAGAAAGATCTGCAGGAATTAAGGCCCCTTTAATGGCATTACTACTGCCAGATGCTTAAGATAACTGGAATTGTCAATGAAGTGTCATCATGAGTAGCCAGTGATCTGACATCATCAGTGAGAATGAAGTTTCACTCATGTAATTTTCTTGAGTGCAAGATGGGCAGGCACTGACCATACCAGTTTTGACACACTTAATTTAGTGCTCTTTCCAAAAGCTATCACACTGACTATTAATTGGCCTTGTAAAATTTCTGCTGTATGTATTTGATAAATAAAATGCATTCTAGGACACTAGCTGCTTCTTCTGAAGTGATTTGCATGCCCTGAGGTCTTATTATGACAGCAAGTAGATTCACTTTTCGTTTGGATGTAATTAGGGTTCTTTTAAATATAATGGCTAAAATTTGTCAGACTGTGACTTTAAAAGTATTTTTTAACAAAATCCTACAGTTTGGTGTTCAGTTGTGCATGCTGCCTTTCTCAGCAGTTTGAGAAGCAAATAGGGGCCTGTCTAGTTCTGTTCTTACCAGCCTGTGGTTTTTGAACAGAGATGGCCCTGTGAGCAGCTTTGAGGTGGGATGCTCAGCCTTTTAAGAAATAAACCTCCATATAGGGAGGGAGGAGCCAAGATGGCAGTGTGAGTAGGTCAGCAGAAATCTCCTCCCAAAAACATACATATTTTTGAAAGGACAACAAATGCAACTATTCCTAAAAGAGAGACCAGAGGATACAGTACAACAGGCAGGCTACATCTATATCTGCGAGAACTCATCATCACACAAAGGGGGTAAGATACAAGCCACGGCCCGATGGCACCCAAGTGCCCCCCATAACCTCAGCTCCCCAGTGGGAAGAAAGGAGTCAGAGCGGGGAGGGAGTGAAAGCCCAGGACTGCTAAACAACCAGCTCTAGTAATCTGCACCGGAAGCGTGGACACACGGTGCACGGTATGCTGGATATTAGAAAAACAGAAGGGAAAATGGCTCCACTAGGACAAAAGAAAAGTGAGTGCTTTTTGAAAGTCTTAAAGAGACAGGGACCTCACAGCTGGATGAAATCGTCCCGGCACACTCAGCCCAGCAGCTGGAAATACTGGGGAATTCCAGATGACCTAACCCCCTAGGCAGCAGTGCAGGTTGGAAGCCCCTCACGGTGATAAGCAGCCAGCCAGTCATTCCCCCGACCGGCGCGGACCCCGACACACCAGCCCAGTAGCGTGTGAGCCTGCAGCGGCAGTGGCCGAGCGAGGGGCCTGGAAATGGCCTGTGTGAGCTGGTGGGAGCGGCAGCGGCGGCCGAACGAGTGGCCTGGGAGCAGCCTGTGCAAGCACACAGCAGCAGTGGCGGCCAACCGAATGGCCCAGGAGCAGCCCATGTGAGCATGTGGTGGCGGCCAAGTGGCCCAGGAGCGACCATGACCCCAGTGGCGGCCCAGAATCTCCTGGCACATAGCTGCCCAGGCCAGACCCAAAGGCTGCCGCCACCACGCAGGTGCCTGGCGGAGGCGCCACTCTCCCAGGAGAGGACACCTGGTGCGCCTGCCACTCTTTACAGGACTCTGCCCTACCCTGACGGATACCCCAAACACAGTAGCTTAGGGGATTAATCCGTTGGCTGCTCCAGGAGTGTGGATAAATGACACAGGCAGCAGAAAGGGTCAAGGTGACCAGCAAGCAGGAAAGCACTTTGTTTTCCCAGCTGACACACATGCTACCTGCCTACAGCTACCTCTATGACTATGAAAAGGCAGAAGAATTTGGTCCAGTCCAAAATTACCCAGACAATCCCTGAGAGAGTGCCTGGGGAGATAGATGTAACCAATCTCCCCGAAAAAGAATTCAAAATAAAGGTCATAACATGCTCATGGATCTGCAGAGAAATATGCAAAAGTTACAGGATAAAGTTGGAAGGGAGAATACAGAAATAAAAGTCTTTGGAAGGACTTAAGAGCAGACTCGATGAGGTGCAAGATATCATCAATGGAATAGAAATCAGAAAACAGGAAGACAGAGAGGCTGATGCAGAGATAGATAAAAGGATATCCAAGAATGAAAGAATATTAACAGAAATGTGTGACCAATCCAAATGGCACAATATCTGCATTATAGAGGTACCAGAAGAAGAAGAGAGAGAAAAGGAGTTAGAAAGTGTCTTTGAAGAAATAATTGCTGTAAACTTCCCCAAACTGGGGGAGGAAATAGTCTCTCAGATCACAGAAGCCCACAGATCTCCCAACACAAGGGACCCAAGGAGGACAACACCAAGACACATAATAGTTAAAACGGTAAAGATCAAAGACAAGGACAGAGTATTAAAGGCAGCCAGAGAGAGAAAAAAGGTCATCTACAAAGGAAAACCCATCAGGCTATCATCAGACTTCTCAACAGAAACCTTACAGGCCAGAAGAGAATGGCATGATACGGTGAATAGGAAGTAGGTTTCTTGCTTGTGTTTTCCTGGTTTGGTCTTCATCAGTGAGAATGAAGTTTCACTCATGTAATTTTCTTGAGTGCAAGATGGGCAGGCACTGACCATACCAGTTTTGACACACTTAATTTAGTGCTCTTTCCAAAAGCTATCACACTGACTATTAATTGGCCTTGTAAAATTTCTGCTGTATGTATTTGATAAATAAAATGCATTCTAGGACACTAGCTGCTTCTTCTGAAGTGATTTGCATGCCCTGAGGTCTTATTATGACAGCAAGTAGATTCACTTTTCGTTTGGATGTAATTAGGGTTCTTTTAAATATAATGGCTAAAATTTGTCAGACTGTGACTTTAAAAGTATTTTTTAACAAAATCCTACAGTTTGGTGTTCAGTTGTGCATGCTGCCTTTCTCAGCAGTTTGAGAAGCAAATAGGGGCCTGTCTAGTTCTGTTCTTACCAGCCTGTGGTTTTTGAACAGAGATGGCCCTGTGAGCAGCTTTGAGGTGGGATGCTCAGCCTTTTAAGAAATAAACCTCCATATAGGGAGGGAGGAGCCAAGATGGCAGTGTGAGTAGGTCAGCAGAAATCTCCTCCCAAAAACATACATATTTTTGAAAGGACAACAAATGCAACTATTCCTAAAAGAGAGACCAGAGGATACAGTACAACAGGCAGGCTACATCTATATCTGCGAGAACTCATCATCACACAAAGGGGGTAAGATACAAGCCACGGCCCGATGGCACCCAAGTGCCCCCCATAACCTCAGCTCCCCAGTGGGAAGAAAGGAGTCAGAGCGGGGAGGGAGTGAAAGCCCAGGACTGCTAAACAACCAGCTCTAGTAATCTGCACCGGAAGCGTGGACACACGGTGCACGGTATGCTGGATATTAGAAAAACAGAAGGGAAAATGGCTCCACTAGGACAAAAGAAAAGTGAGTGCTTTTTGAAAGTCTTAAAGAGACAGGGACCTCACAGCTGGATGAAATCGTCCCGGCACACTCAGCCCAGCAGCTGGAAATACTGGGGAATTCCAGATGACCTAACCCCCTAGGCAGCAGTGCAGGTTGGAAGCCCCTCACGGTGATAAGCAGCCAGCCAGTCATTCCCCCGACCGGCGCGGACCCCGACACACCAGCCCAGTAGCGTGTGAGCCTGCAGCGGCAGTGGCCGAGCGAGGGGCCTGGAAATGGCCTGTGTGAGCTGGTGGGAGCGGCAGCGGCGGCCGAACGAGTGGCCTGGGAGCAGCCTGTGCAAGCACACAGCAGCAGTGGCGGCCAACCGAATGGCCCAGGAGCAGCCCATGTGAGCATGTGGTGGCGGCCAAGTGGCCCAGGAGCGACCATGACCCCAGTGGCGGCCCAGAATCTCCTGGCACATAGCTGCCCAGGCCAGACCCAAAGGCTGCCGCCACCACGCAGGTGCCTGGCGGAGGCGCCACTCTCCCAGGAGAGGACACCTGGTGCGCCTGCCACTCTTTACAGGACTCTGCCCTACCCTGACGGATACCCCAAACACAGTAGCTTAGGGGATTAATCCGTTGGCTGCTCCAGGAGTGTGGATAAATGACACAGGCAGCAGAAAGGGTCAAGGTGACCAGCAAGCAGGAAAGCACTTTGTTTTCCCAGCTGACACACATGCTACCTGCCTACAGCTACCTCTATGACTATGAAAAGGCAGAAGAATTTGGTCCAGTCCAAAATTACCCAGACAATCCCTGAGAGAGTGCCTGGGGAGATAGATGTAACCAATCTCCCCGAAAAAGAATTCAAAATAAAGGTCATAACATGCTCATGGATCTGCAGAGAAATATGCAAAAGTTACAGGATAAAGTTGGAAGGGAGAATACAGAAATAAAAGTCTTTGGAAGGACTTAAGAGCAGACTCGATGAGGTGCAAGATATCATCAATGGAATAGAAATCAGAAAACAGGAAGACAGAGAGGCTGATGCAGAGATAGATAAAAGGATATCCAAGAATGAAAGAATATTAACAGAAATGTGTGACCAATCCAAATGGCACAATATCTGCATTATAGAGGTACCAGAAGAAGAAGAGAGAGAAAAGGAGTTAGAAAGTGTCTTTGAAGAAATAATTGCTGTAAACTTCCCCAAACTGGGGGAGGAAATAGTCTCTCAGATCACAGAAGCCCACAGATCTCCCAACACAAGGGACCCAAGGAGGACAACACCAAGACACATAATAGTTAAAACGGTAAAGATCAAAGACAAGGACAGAGTATTAAAGGCAGCCAGAGAGAGAAAAAAGGTCATCTACAAAGGAAAACCCATCAGGCTATCATCAGACTTCTCAACAGAAACCTTACAGGCCAGAAGAGAATGGCATGATACGGTGAATAGGAAGTAGGTTTCTTGCTTGTGTTTTCCTGGTTTGGTCTTTTTTCTTCCTTATTTTTCTCTTTGTGGTCTTCTCTTTCTCACATACTGTCTTACATTTAAGGAGTTTTTAGTGCATTCTACCATCTCACTCTGTTATTTTCTGATGATGTGAGTGAGAGTTGTCTTATCATTAAAGTTCCTATGTGAAAAATTGTGACGTTTTAACAAAAAATTATGGAAACCAGTGGTCCTTTCACAATGTGTTCATCGTTGGGGTTTAGCACTTTCTGGAAAAAGATTTACAAATTAATGAGACTTCCCTGCCTTGCTTTTTTCTTAATTTGTCACAAAAGGATTTTTTCTCTCTGAATTCCACAATTCTCTACAGTGAGCATCCATCATTTTTGTAATTAGGAAAAAATACTTTGTACCAAGTTTTGACAGTGTCCATTGAGAGACCACTGTTACATATTCTTTTAAAATATTAGAGGCTCCACTTAAGGGAGTCACATCTAAATTCATAATGTCCTTTGTGAGTGCCCATCAGATGGGATGGATAGGGTCAGTTAGTGTACTTTATACTTTTGAGTGTCACCTATAACAAGCTCTCTTACCTTTGGCAGGATGCTTTGGTGCTGAGTTGTTCTTTGTTGTGTGGGCTGTCCTGTGTGTTGTAGGATGGTCAGCAGTTTCCCCAATGTATGATCACACTTCGAGTTGAATATCCAAGTGGGTGAATTGTAATGGGAAGGCACTCGAAAGATGAAGAAAGACCCAGAGATGCCATATGAGATGTGAGGGTTTATTGGGACTTACGTGCATTCTGGAAGCTGCTGGCTGGGCAACGTTGCTTACAGCTGTAGTGGACAGGGAGGGAACTGCTTATGTAGGTGGAGAGGAGAGAGACTCTATGTGCCAGAGGTGAGGAGACAGAGACTGTGTGCTTTGCTGTGTCTCTGTACCCTTTACACAAGATGGTGGCCGGTGTGTGGTCTAACCTTGTGGTGGCCCATGTTCTGGAGACAGAGTTCCTGCTGTCCATGTGAGAGGCTGTGCTGTCTTAGGCTTCAGGCAGTTTGTACAAGGTGCCCCTTGAAGGTTGCCTGTGCATTCAGAAGTCATCTGGAAAGCATTCACAGAATATGAGGATTGTGTTTTCCCTTAGGGAAGATAGGTTGAATCTTGGGGCTCAAAGCTGTTTGAGTTTCATACTACAAATTGGGGAGATTTAAATTTTCTTAAATGCAAATGCCATGTGTGAAATAACAGTTATACTGCAGTTATAGGATGAAGGTTTCTCTTAGGCAGCAAATAAGAACTCTTCCAAGTGCCAATTATAAATAATGTGTTAAGAGTAGAAAAGAAACATTATCAATATCTTCTATTAACTAAGCCTCTGCATTTTCTATATTATTTGGGTATTTATGAAATATTTTGATTATTTACTCTTTTTGAGTGGTGGGTTTTTAAAACTTTTTTTACCTCTAAAATTAAGGCTATGAGAGCTTGAGAAAAAGTTGCTATGGTGACTATATATTTTGGTTTGTTGTCTGCAATTTAGGAATGTTTGTGCTCTAAAACTTCATTTTAAAGACAGTTATGTGGAACTTTGTTATTTTTTTCATAGAGGCAAGATTGCAAGTAAAAGACTTCAGACTCAATCAAAAAAACTTATTTAAACCTGTAAGTAAAGGAAATACATACTTCTGTCTTTATGAATATGAAGGAGTACTCATTTTTTCCCCTCCATGAATTTTCTTACTAGAAGAGGTTTCACAGATGGTCTGATTGACTGGTCTGATTTTTCTTACCTTATGGGGTTTGAAATACAGCACACATTTAGCCATGTGTGCTTTGGAGGATTCATTTATTCTTTCAGTAAATATTTACTGTGTACCTACTTCGAGCCACTTACTGGCCTAGCACCTGGGGATGTAGCACTAACTGAAGTGGACCACAGTCCCTACCCTAATGGTGCCTGGGAGCTGAACCCCTAATTTAATGCACTGGGAATGGGTGGAAGGCCAGTGTGAAGCAGCCTGCCTATACCTACCTCATCTGATGGCAAACAGAACCCTGAGAAAGGGATACTGGGGTTCTTGAAGCTTCTGCTCTGTGGACTTGGCTCCCAAATCCCAGCATCACACTGTCTGTTGCACTGAAACATGTCTGCTAAACCATAAGGTCCTGAGGGTGGTTATGAATTCATCTCTGTCTTCACAGTGTCAGGAAAGCCTAAAACTATGTGCTGTACATGGTCAGTAACTCACTGGGGTGTTGTGTTTGCTGGTTTCTGTGGAGTGGACATTTGGATGTGGCTTATTTCAGGATGCCAGTGTGCCATCAGGTAGTGTCGGGTTGGGCAGCTTCTTGTCACCCACCATTAGATGCAGTAGCCACAAATCACTCTAAGTCCTACATATGAAATGCTATAAAGTAATTAGTGGCAAGTTTAAGTATTTATTACCTCTGATTTTAATCAACTGATCGATTAGTTAATTAAATTGTCAACTTATATAAAATTATATTTGCATAATTTAATATTTAATAATGGCTGTGTTAACAGTGGGCTTGCAAAATTCCTGGAAATTTAACAAATCCTTGTTGGCTCCAACACACCTCTGGGAGCATCACTCTACCTTGCCTGAAATTCCTATGGCCAGATACTAAAATCTAGATATTTTCAGAAACTAGAAAGTTAATGTGGAAGATGTATCATAATTACGTAACACCTATTAAGATATCTGAGGCAGAACTCTGTTATCAAAACATTGATATTTCTACAATAAAATATGAATATTCCACAAGTGTGGGTACATACTTTTTTTTCCCTTTTTTTTGGTATCATTAATCTACAATTATATGAGAAACATTATGTTTACTAGACTCCCCCTTTCACCAAGTCCCCACCATATACCCAATTACAGTCACTGCCCATCAGCGTAGTAAGATGCTGTAGAATCACTACTTGTCTTCTCTGTGTTGCACAGCCCTCCCCATGCTCCTCCCCGCCCCCCACATTATGCATGCTAACTGTAATGCTCCCTTTCTTTTTCCCTGCCCTTATCCCTCCCTTACCACCCATCCTCCCCAGTCCCTTTCCCTTTGGTAACTGTTAGTCCATTCTTGGGTTCTGTGATTCTGCTGCTGTTTTCTTCCTTCAGTTTTTTCTTTGTTCTTATACTCCATATATGAGGGAAATCATTTGGTACTTGTCTTTCTCCACCTGGCTTATTTCACTGACCGTAATGCCCTCTAGCTCCAACTATGTTGTTGCAAATGGTAGGATTGGTTTTCTTCTTATGGCTGAATAATATTCCATTGTGTATATGTACCACATCTTCTTTATCCATTCGTCTACTGATGGACACTTAGGTTACTTCCATATCTTGACTTTTGTAAATAGTGCTGCAATAAACATAGGGTGCATATGTCTTTTTCAAATGGGGCTGCTGCATTCTTGGGGTAAATTCCTAGAAGTGGAATTCCTGGGTCAAGTGGTATTTCCATTTTGAGTTTTTTGAGGAACCTCCATATTGCTTTCCACAGTGGTTGAACTAATTTACATTCCCAATCAGCAGTACAGGAGGGTTCCCCTTTCTCCACAACCTTGCCAACATTTGTTGTTGTTCTTTGTCTTTTGGATGGTGGCGATCCTTACTGGTGTGAGGTGATATCTCATTGTGGTTTTAATTTGCATTTCTCTGATGACTAGCGACGTGGAGCATCTTTTCATGTGTCTGTTGGTCATCTGAATTTCTTCTTTGGAGAACTATCTGTTCAGCTCCTCTGCCCATTTTTTAATTGGATTATTTGCTTTTTGTTTGTTGAGGTGCATGAGCTCTTTATGTATATTGGATGTCAACCCTTTATCGGATCTGTCATTTATGAATATATTCTCCCATACTGTAGGATGCCTTTTTGTTCTCTTGGTGGTGTCTTTTGCTGTACAAGATTTTCAGCTTGATATAGTCCCACTTGTTCATTTTTGCTTTTGTTTCCCTTGCCTGGGGTGATATGTTCATGAAGAAGTCACTCATGATTATGTCCAAGAGATTTTTGCCTATGTTTTTTTCTAAGAGTTTTATGGTTTCATGACTTACATCAGGTCTTTGATCCATTTTGAATTTACTTTTTTGTATGGGGTTAGACAGTGATCCAGTTTCATTCTCTTGCATGTAGCTGCACAGTTTTGCCAACACCAGCTGTTGAAGAGGCTGTCATTTCCCCATTGTATGTCCATGGCTCCTTTATTGTATATTAATTTACCATATGTGTTTGGGTTAATATCTGGACTCTCTGTTCTGTGCCACTGGTCTGTGGCTCTGTTCTTGTGCCAGTACCAAATTGTCTCGATTACTGTGTCTTTGTAGTATAGGTTGAAGTTGGGAAGCGAGATCCCCCTCGCTTTATTCTTTCTTTTCAGGATTGTTTTGGCTGTTCGGGGTCTTTTTGGTTCCATATGAATTTTAAAACTATTTGTTCCAATTCATTGAAGAATGCTGTTGGCATTTTGATAGGCATTGCATTGAATCTGAAGATTGCTTTAGGCAGGATGGCCATTTTGACTATATTAGTTCTTCCTAGCCAAGAGCATGAGATGAGTTTCCATTTGTTATGGTCCTCTTTAATTTCCTTTAAGTGTGTCTTGTAGTTTTCAGGGTATAGGTCTTTCACTTCCTTGGTTAGGTTTATTCCTAGGTGTTTTATTCTTTCTGATGCAATTGTGAATGCAATTGTTTTCCTGATTTCTCTTTCTGTTAATTCGTCATTAGTGTATAGGAAAGCAACAGATTTCTGTGTGTTAATTTTGTATCCTGCAACTTTGCTGAATTCAGACAGTTCTAGTAGTTTTGGAGTGGAGTCCTTAAGGTTTTTATGTACAATATCATGTCATCTGCAAATAGTGACAGTTTGACTTCTTCTTTACCAATCTGGATGCCTTGTATTTCTTTATTTTATCTGATTGCCATGGCTAGGACTTCCAGTACTATGTTGAATAACGGCGGGGAGTGTGGGCATCCCTGTCTTGTTCCTGATCTTAGAGGAAAAGCTTTCAGCTTCTTGCTGTTCAGTATGATGTTGGCTGTGGGTTTGTCATATATGGCCTTTATTATGTTGAGGTACTTGTCCTCTCTACCCATTTTGTTGAGAGTTTTTATCATGAATGGATGTTGAATTTTGTCGAATGTTTTTTCAGTGTCTCTGGAGATGACCATGTGGTTTTTGTCTTCCTCTTTGTTGATGTGGTATGTGATGTTGATGGATTTTCGAATGTTCTACCATCCTTGTATCCCTGAGATGAGTCCCACTTAATCATGGTGTATGATCCTCTTAATCTATTTTTGAATTCAGTTTGCCAATATTTTGTTGAGTATTTTTGTATTGAGTATGTTCAACAGCAATATTGGTCTGTAATTTTCTTTTTTGGTGGGGTCATTTCCTGGTTTTGGTATTAGAGTGATGCTGGCTTCATAGAATGAGTTTGGAAATATCCCCTCGTCTTCATTTTTTTGGAAACCTTTAAGGAGAATGGATATTATGTCTTGTCTGTATGTCTGATAAAATTCAGCAGTGAATCCATCTGGCCTGGGAGTTTTGTTCTTGGGTAGTTTCTCGATTTCTGGTTTAATTTCATTGCTGGTAATTGTTCTGTTTAGATTTTCTGTTTCTTCCTTTGTCAGTCTTGGAAGGTTGTATTTTTCTAGGAAGTTGTCCATTTCTTCTTGGTTTTCCAGCTTGTTAGCCTAAAGATTTTCATAGTATTCTGTAATAATTCTTTGTATTTCTGTGGGGCCCATCATGATTTTTCCTTTCTCATTTCTGATTCTGTTGATGTGTGTAGATTCTCCTTTTATCTTAATAAGTCTGGCTTTGGGCTTATCTATTTTGTTTATTTTCTCAAAGAACTAGCTCTTGGTTTCATTGATCTTTTCTATTGTTGTATTCTTCTCAATTTTATTCATTTCTTTTGTGATCTTTATTATTTCCCTCCTTCTGCTGACTTTGGGCCTCATTTGTTCCTCTTTTTCCAATTTCAATAATTGTGACTTTAAACTATTCATTTGGGATTGTTCTTCCTTCTTTAAATAGGCCTGGATTGCTATATACTTTCCTCTTACAAGTGCCTTCGCTTCATCTCTCAGAAGCTGGGGCTTTGTGCTGTTTTTGTCATTTGTCTCTGTATATTGCTTGATCTGTATTTTAATTTTGTCATTGATCCATTGATTATTTAGGAGCATGTTGTTAAGCCTCCATGTGTTTGTGAGCCTTTTTGTTTTCTTTGTACAATTTATTTCTAATGTTATACATTTGTCGTCTGAGAACTTGGTTGTTAGAATTTCAATCTTTAGAATTTAATGAAGCTCTTTTTGTGGTCTAGTATGTGGTCTATTCTGGAGAAAGTTCCATGTGCACTTGATGACATTGTGTATCCTGTTGCTTTTGGGTGTAGGGTTCTGTAGATGTCTATTAGGTCCATCTGTTTTAGTGTGTTGTTTAGTGCCTCTATGTCCTTACTTATTTTCTGTCTGGTAGATCTGTCCTTTGTAGTGAGTGGGGTGTTCATGTCTCCTAGAATGAATGCATTGCATTCTATTTCCTCCTTTAATTCTGTTAGTATTTGTTTCACATATGTTGGTGCTCCTGTATTGCATACATGTATATTGATAATGGTTATATCC